TCGTATAATTTACATAACATTATCCCTTCGCGAGAACTGTAACATCGTTCCGGTCGGCTTAATTGCTTCCTCGCGTCTGTTACACGACTCTTTCTCCTCGAGAACGATGCCGTCGACGTTTTCGCGAAACAGGAGGAAACAGGGTTCCATTATCGCGAGGAACTAAAGTGTCTCCATAGGCTGGCGCGATAGGATATATCGCCCAAAGTTGCCGCGGGACGAAATTATTCGACGCGAAGGACAGGTTCAGGTTATCGCGATACATCCTTCACCAGGAAGGTATCTCGGCCCGAAGCTACGCGCACGGAGAGCGTATAGAGGGATTGTTATGCAAGCGAAGCGAACGATCGTAAATGGAAGCCGGAGAGCGAATCACGATACACGGCAGATCAGGGTCGCAGCCCTTCGCGAAAGGGCTTCGTAGCGCGAGAGGATGTGTTCAATTCCTTATGTAACTCTTTTCCCGTGTTGTAAAATTGCATCACGTGTCGTCTACAGTCGCGATTTTCACGCTTAAAGTTCCCCTTAAAGCGTATAACAATAATGTGAGAGAAATTATCGCAAATAAATATATTAGGCGATTATTCTATAATTTTAAAAATATAGAAATATATATATATATATGTTGATGCGTTTTTTGTATCTACAGCATGATGCACTCACGATGGATCTTCGTTTACTAGAGTCTAGTAAGAGAAATAAGTTTTGTTGACGAAGGTCCGTAGGAAGGATTCGAAAAAAAGGCGATCCATTTCTATCCGATCCCCCGTTCTACCTCAAACCACAGGAATTTGATGATGAGATATGAAAAAAATGAAAAGTGATATCCGCGCTAACAGGAGACCATCATCATCGCGGAGTTTGTCGGCGGAAAAGGCCGGCTTTTACATTTCTCCGAAATCTGTCACTTTACGCGGAGTATCCAAAGTTCCAGTTTTATCTATAATTACCGATATAATAATTATCGCGAAACATTACTCGATTTAAAGTACAGGCGTACAGAAAATCTCTTCTCGTCGAAACGTGACGTTTCGTATGTTGCTCAACTTGATAAAAAAACAATAATATTAATAAAAATATTAATAAAAAAATTATTAAATATATTATTAAATATATTATTACGTAATATGTTTAGAGAAAATTTAAAAAAACAGGGAGAAGGAAGTTTTTCAGAGGAAATATGGAGATGCATAAACATACACGGTTACCTGCGCCTAATAATGTATACGTATAAACCGTGCATGTATTCTCACGGATGCTTCGTGCTCGCGGACGGGATTCACCACGACGTGGCATCATAATGACGGCAATTAGTTTCGCTCCATTGAGTTCTAAATGCGGAGACCCGGCCATCAGGGGTGCAGAGCGCCCGAGGAGGCTCGAAGGATCTTCGGCGTCGGCCAGGAAGCCTCATTCGGCGCGGTTTCTCCTGCGGTTTCATCCTACTATCCTGGCCGCTGTCGCCGTCTTTCTTATTAATATGCTAATTTTGCACGAGCATCGGCCAATTACGGGACGAGATTCCTTCGGCGCCGTCCGACGACGATCGCGCTGCCAGGAACCTTCGATAGGCGATGGCAATTTCCGACGCACGTCGACGTCGTCCAGGGTGTTCCACGGATTACGGCCACGTGTAATACGAAACACCTGCGACCAGGAAAGTATACGGCCGTGCACACGTAACGCATACACGCGTACACATACGTACAAGTGGATTCATCCCTCAGGAGTCGCACCTTCGAGACGACGCGAAAATATAACGGTCTTATCAATTGCGAAATGTTCCATCGCACGTTCGACGCAGAGAAACGTAAATTTATTTCCCTCTGCAAGTCCGGCAACGACAACTTCAATTCCTATATATTTGTAGTATGTTATATCTCCATTGGATTAAAAGTAATTTCATAATCAAAAGAATCTCACATCACCTGCGTTTTTTTTTTGTATTTTCTCTTAATATATTTTTTCTCTGTATCATCAAATTCTGAGAGTTTAATAAGTTTGATAATTTTCAGCTTGTCATATCTCTCGTGAGAGAGTCTTCGATTCGTGCAATGTAACTTGTCGAAATATAGATAAAAAATAATACACCTTTTGTGCAATGAATAAGATACGAATGAGTTTAATTTCATTATCGATGTCGCGCGTCACGATCTTCGAAGGGTGCGGACTCGTCCCTGAAGACGGTTCCAGGAAGATCGGGATTACATCAGGCCTCAGGATCGCTCATGAGTGCCTAATCGGACGCCCTTTGTTAATCCCCTAGAGGGTAAAAAGATTTGCCGCTTCAGCGGCTTTGAAAGAAAGTGGGACTGTCGGCCGATCAGGAGTGCACGAGAAGACGGAGGCGATCCGATCAACGTCATCAGTTCTGTCACTTATTGTTAGCTCTAGTTAATTTTTCATTTTGCAACTATCTATTATATGTTTTCGCGTAGAGAACGTGCTTCAAAGGTACAACTATATTTTACTCCTCTGTCACATTTTAATAATATGCTTGATATCTCCCAATTTCTTGAAAATTTTTAATTATAAACGTATATTTATATTCTTTGATAAATCGCAAAAAAATCGACAGATGTTTCATGAAAAATCACTTATATTTAGAGCAATCTGTATAGCCAGAGTGTTAATATTATAATTTCTTATTGCGACGTTGATATGTCCGCTCATTTTCATCAATGGACGTCCACAAAGTCATCGGCGATCTCACCCTACGACGCAAAGTAACAATGCGACATCCCCGGTTTCACTCTTCACGACTGATCCTACCACTTGGGCAGCCATTTGATACCAAACTCAGACTGCACCCCATCAGGATATCATGAACGCGACGTGCATCGCGAGGATACCACGAGTACATCAAACCCGCTCGGATCCGGTACCAATCAGTTACGGTCGAGCAGGTTCGAACAAATTTCGTCCTGGCCTCCAAGGATAGCATAAAGAGCACGAGTTCTCTCTCTCTCTCCCTCTCTCTTTCTCGAGAGAGAGGATGAGACTGGTATTCGACTCGATGATACACTTTCGTGGTCTGCGAGATGGTCTATTTTCGCGCCGATTAGAGCTAAACCAAGGTAATTTTATGGCCGCGCGTGCTATTAGCGAGTTTTTACGAGAAAGGAACTGAACCGGCTGGCGCATGCGATTAGGAACATATAAGACGGGCACAACGAGGGCAGAAGGGTGATCGATCAAGTGGCGAACACCGTAATCGGTCCGGCCGTCTGGATAGCGTCGATTTGGCCTCACATGATCAGGAAAACATCTCGACGAAGTGGACGATACACGTTGGCGCGACATAGGGAACAGGAAACGAGTAGGCGTGAGTTATGACGACGACGTGACGACGAGCGAGCTTTAAACGATTGTTCGAGTCCGCGCGTTGCTCTCCACGTGCGGGTCAAGTCTAGCTTGGGACAAACGCGGGAGAGATAAATGCCAAAAGCAGCGAATAGATAAACAACCTTATGGGGATCTTAGGAGCGGACAGAAGGTCGTGCTAGAGTCGCCCTATGCCGAGGCCGAGGGCTCCTCTGTCTCTCCAAAGGCTATTCCCCAGGGGGATAAGGAAGGTGAAAACGATGAATTAAAGACGACTTTTAGATGAAAAGAATCGAATCAACGTGCAAATTATTTCGCAAAACGCGTTACATGAAAAAATTTTAAGTTATATATATAAAAAATTACATATGTATCGAGAATAAGATTTTACAGAATTCAGTCGAGTTTTTTATTCTAATAAAAATCTCTATGTAAGATATATAAAAATATAAAAATTTTATATATAAGATATATAAAATAAAATATATATATTTTATTTTATATATAACAATCTTAATAAAATATATATATTTTATTTTATATATAACAATCTTAATAAAATATATATATTTTATTTTATATATGAGATATATAAAAATATAAAAATTTTTATTAGAATTAGATTTTGTATGTTTCCAAAATATTTCGATTAACGAGTTTCTCTATATCTTGGGTAATATAACAGGCGATCGTCTTTTTTCCATGACACTCGAAAGGAGGATAATCTATAGAAAACTATCATAACAGGTTATAAATTATGAAACTGCTTGTCGAGCCGCGAGTCACGATCAAGAAGAAAAGTCTAAGTTATTTATTTATGCGATATAATAAAGCCGTTAAATCGGCTACATGGTTGGAAAAATTCAAAAAATGTATGGAACCGAGAACCGGAAGGAAACTAGCCGCGGTGCTACATGGATCACGTAATCTGAAATTGGAGTATATTCTCGAGGAGACGATTCAACCAACGCAGGTTCTTAAAGAAATAAATATTGTGCGTCTGTCAATCTTAAACGATGCCAACGGAAGGATTTTTCTTGCGACAGAAGCTCAATATTTTGATATCTATAAAATAATTTAATGAGAAATTTTTTTTTAACACGAGAAGGGTAATTATTTCCCGTGATTTTTCTTGATATAATATAATATATATGATTTATATAATATATATGACTTTTATATATATTTTATATATAATTAATATATAATATATATATGATTTTCAATTTCTAAAAATTGTAACATGTGTGATGTAGCAATTTTGAAAGTCGGGATCGTTTTCAACATTAAAATGACGAGAAATTACTTTCCTCGTGTGTTTTCTCAAACAATATAATTCCGCGGCTCTCTTTGATATTTTCGCTACAGCTCGGGCGCTACTTCCTACTCTCCAAGTAGAATTGCAATTTCTTTCCGGCATGTATACAGGATATACTGCATTCGAATATCAGCAAAGCGCGAATACCGGTCCCTCGGTGAACTTGACGTCGCGTTATATTATAACGTTGCGACCTAATCGTGGAATTTATCGCGACGACGCTTTTCCACTCGGCGCGCGGTCTTGTGAAAATTTCGCTTTCACTCGAGAATCGATTCGCGACCGCGAGGACACAAAGGTCAAGTGTCGCCGGCTAAAATTCATTCGCGATAGACACTTTCTCCGCTCGCTGACGGCGATGCGGATCCGCTCACGCCCTTTTCTTCTTTTCGCGAACCCGCCGAAGATACGCGTGGACGTGCGCTTCTGCGGCCTGACCGGAAGTGACGCGCTCCTGTGGCTCGGCGGTCACCGCGGCGACCCGGGGCCGACCGCGGTCCTCGGTTTCGAGGTGTCCGGCACGATTCTGGAAATGGGCAGACTGGCACACGAGCGGACAGGCTATCAGATGGGCGAGAAAGTCGTCGTGCACAACCATCCCGTCTGCGGCGGTCTGGCCGAAAGCTGCCTGGCTCATTATACGGTAGGAAAGCGTTCTCTACCTTCAACGGGATATGCTAATTTTTTAAGGCCGACATTGGCGCGCGATTGAATGCGTGCGATTGCGATGCTCATAAATTTCATCACCGGATATTCGCGAGTATTGTTTCTTTTACGCTGAGAGATAAATCCCCCCCCCCCGCCCCCGCTGAGAGATTAATCAAAGAAATGTTATAGGACGTATTTAACTTAACGGGACGAGCGTCCCTGAAAGATTCAGCGATCGTCATGGATGATTATTTCTCGGCGCTACTGGCGATGGGTCGTCGAGCTCGTATTCAGAGAAACGAATGCTTTCTCATTAACGCGAAACATTCGCGTTCCGCCTTGGCCGTCATCGATCTCGCCATTGGAGTGTTCGGAGCGAAGGTATTCGCAATTTTCTATCCGTCGATTTCACTCAAATGGTGAAAAATGGGAATGGAAATCGCACGTCCCCCTTCGTCAAGAATTTTTCTAATAAATATCTTAATCGATGTAAGAAAAACACCCAATTAATGCGTGAGAATTTCACGAATATCACATCAAAAATCCCGATGCATTCTAATAATTTTGAATATATCTTTCATGAATAATTATCTCTAAAAACATCTGATCACAGATGTCTATATACTATATCAGCTACTAACAGCGGTGTTAAAGCAGAGCAGTCCTTTACAATTAGACAGAGTGTTGATAATTAATTATTTTTACAATCGTGTCTAATCAAGTGATCAATTGTTTTTATAATCATGCCATCAAATTCTATGATAGCCAGTATAAATTCTGTCCAATTGTAAGTGACTGCCCTTTATGTTTCACATCTCATATGAGATGACTGTGCCAGTAGTCTAGTATACTCGTACATGTATAGAGCTTTGTGCATCATATCTGATCCTCTTTGTCTCTCATCTTAGCCGATAGCTCTGTGCAAAGATTCAAGGCGAGCCAAGCTGTGCGCAGATCTCGGTGCGGAGGTCCTGTGCGATAGAAACGAAGAATGCTTGCCGAATAAATTAAGAGAACTCACCGGGAAAGAAGAGGTGCGCCTGATGATCGAGACCGAGGACGGGCCGTACTTTCGGAGCGTCGTCAAAAGGTATGAATTGGACTTGTCACGTTACAAAGCCACCACAAGTTCCCTCTTTGTTGCTGGTTTCTCGCCGAGAACCTGGTCAAAAAAAACATTGCAAAATTACAAAAGTCGAAGACACACTCTTATCGTCGAGTCTTCATTACAAGTCTGAAATTGTGAACTGAAAATTGCGTACATATTTACCAATGAAATGCAACTTTCTCTAATAATTGCCGCTAATCGTCACAAAAGAGTCCTCTGATATCGCGTTATATACTGTCACATGTATATTTCCATTTCCGTTTCCCTTTCACAGCTTGGAGCACGATGGCCTAATCGCTCTTCTTGACGATGCCCGAAATAAGCGGCATCCCGATTTCTACCTCATGTCGCCGAATTACACAGTATTCGCGGTAGCCGCGGAACATTACAAAGTCGCCGACCCCCTGATATACAGGTTAGTAAGGTTATCAAGATCCTCGCGAGATACAAAGGTAGAAAATTCGCGCACATGTAATCTAACAACCGATAATTGCAACGTAACGTTTCTCTCCCGACAGAGAGACTATGCAGCATCTGTTGGACTATCACTCGGAATGCGCGATTCGTCCTCGTATCTCGGCGATTTTCGGTCTGCATCGTATCAACGACGCGTTCGACTATTACACGACGGTGCCGAGCGGAAATGTCTTGATAGATATGAAGGATCTTGATCGACTAACTGTGTGCGATAAGTTTTAAGCACTTCGATTCACTAAATTCACCGTTTTGAATTATCACAATTTCCTCGATTGCGATATTTCCTGCGAGAGGGCGCTAGCGTCCGGAGCGTTTTCACGGGTCACGTGACTTTCGTGAGACCGTGCGCAATTGGCCTTTTTACAATTATTGACAAGTATAAAATTTTTAAATTGCAATTGCACCGATTTTATATTTGGCTTAATAAGCAACGTGTAATAATTCTTTGCATCCTATTATTTTATATATATATTTGTGTGCATATAAGAGAACTATCTGAAGTCATAATCTTATCAATGGTCGATCAAATTCTTCAATTATTCACTTCAGATAAGATAGATTTCTTCTCTCTCCGGATAAATATATATTCTCGAGAAACTACTTATAAAAAGATAATTATATTAAAAAATATATCAATATAAAATATATTACCAGGAACGACATAAAGTAAATGCACAATTTTATACATTTGTATTATCAAACAGATCCCTCGTTTCAATTTTATCCTATCCCATGCGAATGCACTCGCGCTTCGGCGGCGAGCTGCGAGAGGGCGCCACCCGCGCGAAAAGCTCGCGCAGCGAGCGCGACGATGCACCTCGCGGCTCGCAGCCGGTGCAAGTTGAAGTGAGCGGCCAACGCGTGTCCGCCTCGGCTCCGCGATTAGACGCGCGTCGCACGACTCGTTCTCGTTCGCGATCTCCGGACGTCGTTGTTGGTATCGCGAGACCGCTTCGTCACCTTCCCGGTCGCGCGACATTTCCGACTTACTCACAGCTGGCTTCCCCCGCGTCTCTCTCTCTCCCCGGTTCGCGACTCGACGAATCCTGTTTGTCGTCGCGAGTGACGGCATCGCGCCGCGCCTTTCTCGCGCGTGCACGCACGCGACGAGGCCGACGGAGTTCGCGGAATTAATATTCGCGCGCGACAGTGCGAGAGAGAAAGAGAGAGAGAGAGAGAGAGAGAGTGAGAGGTCGAGAACGAGCGTGGGAGGAGGGGAGGAGCGAGCGAGACAGTGTCGCATCGCGACGGCTCTTTTCCGGTTTCCTCGCGGCTCGCTCGTCGTCGTCGCGCCCGATTATCCTCTTACGTTCCGTTCGTTCGTCGATACGTTGTCTGCCGTGTCTCTCCTCGCCCACGATAACGACGGCGGGGACGCGGCTGTGATACTACATGCAACCTGTTGTCCTCTCGCGGCACGTCCCGTGACGCTGATACGCAGCCGTGCCGAGCAACGACGTGCTGGCGGCCGACCTAACCTCGCACCCGACCTGGGAAACGCGCCGGCTCATCGACGCTCGGAGCTGACGGCAGTATGAACGGGTAAGCTGACATTCTGAATTTACGATCCAATCTCTCGTTTCTTAGCGAGACGGAGGAAAAGAGGGAGAGAGAATGATAGAGAGAGAGTAGGAGGGGGCCATAGAGGAAAAGGAAACGGAGGGGACAAGGTAAAATAAGTGAGAGCGACAGCGGAATATATATGTATACGAGTAAAGAGTATAGCTAATTATGTCGAATTGTTATTTTTTTTAATTATTTCAAGAAATATAAAGTTATAATTTTGTAGCTAAAATGCATATTAATTGTAAATAATATTAATGATAATAATATTAAAATATTTATAATTAAGTAATAATAATATTATGTAATTGACGAATAAAATAATTTAATTGCGACAAATATGAATATAGCTTAAAATATATGCTTGAGAAAATGGACTATTTAATCTAGCGTTTCTGAGGGAAAGATAAATATAAAATGGAGTATTTCGCATATATTTTATATATATAAAGAAAGAGAAAGAGTTGAAACATCGATTTGCGATTATCCGTGGAGCGAGAGGGATTATCAGCCGCAGAGGGAGAAAAAGAGAAGACGATATCAAAAAGGATAAACGTTTTCTTTATCACATGTCATTCCTCGTCCTCTCTTTCTTTTTCTTTCTCTCTCTCTCTCTCTTTCTCTCTCTCTCTCTCTTTTTCGTTTTCTGTCTCTTTTTCTGGCCTCACCTTTACGAATGTGCGTACGACTCTCTGTGCGCAGGTTAAAGCGAGGTGAAAAGAGAAATCCACCGTTGAAACTTAATTAAGCAACGCCAAAGTCCTTTAATCTTCGATATTGCACAGCAACGTCTGTTTAATCACTCGTATATGCATTTCCCTTTTTCGAAATGTCCTTTGCAATCTACGCCATTCGATTCGGCCGGATAATCGTCCACTAATCATGCTCCATTTTTAATGATATAAAGCGAATATGAGATACGCTTCGTAGCGATAATAGTGATCTCGGTTGGATCAATCGCGAGCGCGACTTTACTAATTCTCAAAGCGCAAAATGCAATTTTCTCGTCGCAAAGTTTTTACAATAATAAAAAAGAAAAAGAATGAAAGACAACAAGAGAGAGAGGGAGAGCGAGCGATTAATTTGAAACCGTAATTTTTCACGAAAAATCAGCGTATTTATCGCGAAACATCGCGGAAATATGTTTATATGGATATTATTCTCTCAGCTTCCGGTTGCAGGGGCTGAGCTTTTAGCCGTGTTTATAGAACTCTGCCCGCATCCACGCACATTTTATGAATAATATTCGATTACACATCGTGCAACAGTATCCGATATATCGAACAACACGCGTTCATTCCGCGCCGTTGGCGTCCAATGGCTTTTGCGGGCAAACGAACGCGTTTGCATCTCCATATAACCCCGTTCTACTTATATTTCGCCATGGGCGGTATGTGAAACACCGTAAAACCATAGCTGTTAGTGCGTATATTTTCATGGGAAATAAATACGAAAAACTCTGGCTCGACAACTTTCGACTCTCCGAGTTTTCGTATTCATCTTTTCTTTTAGCCTCGAAGATTTTCGTACTCATTGTTCGTGTTAAGTATTATATAAGAGAGCCTCGACATTAGATGTGATGTTGACGGAAGTAAAGTCACATGCAAGATGTATGTCGTTGAATTATCTGTTCTTTTAATAACAGACTCTCTGTTCATCTTGAAGATATTAATAGCATTTTAATTCAAGGTTTAATTATATAAAGATTTGTATATGATGGAAGAAAGGGGAGGACAAAAATTTGCAAAGAAAATTGATGATTTTTCTCAACATTTTTGCTAAGAAACAACCGATTTTAAATTGATCAGAGAATCGACTATCAAAGACATTCAATGATTTTGAAACACTCTGTATTATATGTATACAGCTATACGTTTATGTTTACATGTAAAACTTGTACTTAAAGGAGTCTACATAATAGAATTGAACGAGAAGGAAATATCATTTTGCAAAAGCGTGCGTTACATTTACGGATTTCATTTCAAACTTTTACAATTTTACCGGGAATACAACTCATTTGATTACGCTTAATTAAAACAGATCTTATCAGATTTCCTGCTGCCGGAGTTTTTTTTTGCAAACCGGATTGCAGAGAGTATTAATGAAAGAACTCGTTGTGTGTTTTGCAAAAATTATATACCGCCCGTGTTTAATATGATTAATATGAATCTGAATAACTTTTCTCGCGAATGATTATCGAGTTTCATTCCCGGGCTGAATTTAATTCTCTCGTTTGCGTTGAAACGATACCCCGGAATGAAATCGCGCGAAACGCGATGACGTTTGGACGACGGAACTAATTTCGAATCCACGCGAGACGCGGACGCGCGGCGACATAAATCGCGTGCGATTTATTCGCGATAATTATGCCATTTTTCACGGCACGTCACGCATTTTCGCGTGTCAACTCTTCGGTCGGTATTCGACCGCGCACGTGGTAACTACTTCCGTGCGCGGACAATCGGGCTTTATCAACCCACGGTCATGTCGAACTTCCGAATTCGATCATTTGTACCTATCGTTGGACGATACACCTTTACAATTTTCTATCTTTATCTGTTTTTTAATCGCACGTTTCACGTATGTACAAGCGTACATTTAAATTACGTTAATCGTACGGTTGGTTATTTAAATAGATACTCGTCATCATTGATCCACAGCGTCGATGATGAATCGAATGCCGTACGTCATTAACGTTTATTACGTATTACGGCTACCGCTATATTCGTATCGCGACGAAATTAGATCCCGGTGTTCGAAGAAACGCGCAACGAGACGTAAAGTCCTGGCAAGCGATAGCCGTGGATTCGCGCCAGAGAGTGATTTACTCTCAAGAACGCGTGTCGAGAACGACGTTTGCGACGCTTCGTTTCATCCGATTCGTCGTCGCCGATCTTTCTTCGTTTTTTTTTCAACGTGATATATAGTCGAAAAATTCTACCGCATTTTGATAAACCAATGTCTTACGACGGATGCGAGATAAGAGGGGAAAACATATTTCTCTCAGATTTTAAATTTATCTCTGCAAATTTTGCTTACTAGCAGCGCGTAAACGCGAAATCGCGACAGGTCTCTCGCTGCATTTTCGCGCGACAAAATGGCGCGCGAAAATGCGCGACGAAGCGACTGAATGTGGCTTACAACGCTCTCCCTACGAATTGCGGAAGACTCGGTTCGTGCATAATGGATTGGCACTTCGCCGATGAGTCGCCGATAATATCTTTACGTTCTCTGTCAATACCGTCGAAGTCGGCCGCTCTTTTTCACGGCGCTAAAGCTGGATTCTGTTTGCTTCCGAATTTGATTTCCGAGTTCAATTTTCGATTTATCCACATTTGATTACGCTTATACATTTTGTTATTTTATTATCTATTTTATTCCTACAATTTTTTCTGCATTAATTGTATACGAAATATTATTATTACATACAATTTATCAGCTGAGATTTTTATTGCGAAAGTTTCGTCTTGAATCGCGAATAATTAATTGAATGAAAAATGATTCTCTCGTCACTGATTTGAGTGGCGCATCTGATTAGCTAAGCTATTAATAATAATTGAGACCGATAATATCGAATGAATGTACAATGCAGGTGTGACGACACAGCTTCATACGTAATATGTGTTCGAACATGCGGAATCGACCGCCAACCGAAAGTACTCGTTTAATCATATGTATTCATCTTATGGCACGATGACGTCACATAATTACGTGTACGCGGACTGAATATTGACAGAGGAGTGCCGACTTCGCGTTTCTGATATTATGTTTCGCTGTAGCCGTCATTGATAAA